TGTCTGCCTTTTTCACCTAATAGAAGAGCGTGTGAGAGACAGGCCCAGTCATCCACTCAACGCTGCTCCCTAAATCAAAAGAGCCCAGCGCCTGCCTCGTGGATGACGAGTGATGTTGAGCTCCCCATCACGCAGTAACGGTAATGAAGCATATTCAGTGAGGCTGCAGCAGCGTCAGGGGGTGGTGGAGCCCTCGGGATTGCATTAATGCTCTCTGTTCCCTGTCACACTTGGCACACTTAGTTACCATCCCAAGTAGATAAGAGAGGAACGCTTCAGATTACGTGTTAAATCTCAGGATGTATCTTTAAATTTTCACCACCTTGGTGGATTTTTATCAACATGTTGAAGAGGTATGGTTAAACCCGGCGGTAGCTGCTCCTTCTGCGCTGTGATCTAATTATGAGTGGATCTTTGCTAAAATGACAATAAAACATAATGAACATTATGTGATCAGTGGTTCTGTTCTGGAAAAGGAAGGGCGTCAAGGGAGAAAGAAAAAGGTTCAGAGATGATTGCTACTAAGGGTATGATTGAAATCCTTTGCTGCCTCCTATCACCATGGTAGCAGCACATCTAAGTCTTTCTTTTCCCCTCAAACCTTTCTTGCTTTGTTGGAGGTATCAAGAGGCAATCATACGATCCCTTTCGGTGAGGCGTCAGTGCAATCTGTAAGAGGTGACAGCTGCCAGTCAGTGAGCCTGAGGAATAAAAGCTTGGTTCTTCTCGTGCACTCAAGCAGTTTCACCCAGATGATTCTTTTTTTCATACGTGCATCATGTCTATTGAATCAGGTGAGGCTTTAATATTAATGTATGTGTTGCAGAGTCTGGTATTTTGAGGTGACAGAAAAGAAGTGAAACTGCATATTGTGAGGTGCTTACATGTCTGGAAACACAACTTTCCATGTGGGTTACATCTCATTCCCCACTAATGGTAGACTAGAAGTCTACACAAATTGTAGTAGCAAAGATTTTGGACTGCAAGTTGGCCTAGCCACATTTCAATGAAGCCTCAGCAGGTCTACAATTGGCCCGAACAATTTGAGGTTTGAGGTTTGTAGAGCGACATTGGGCAGACTTAGCAACAGAGCTGCAATTGAGAGAAACTATTGACATGGCTTCGGCTAAGGAACGGCGCTCGTTTGAAACGACTTTAGACCATTTAAACACTGACTTTTCTTTGAGACAAGAGCCAATGAAGGTCCTTTATTTAAAAAAATTATGTATTTGCTTTTTCTTTTCTTCTACAGTGTATGCCAAACTTTGCCGTTAACTGATTTCAGTAGCAATAAACCAGGTCCTAGTGTTGTCCAGATGCAGGCAGAAACATTTTACAAGATAACCATATATTCTGCTATGATTGAGTTCTGTCTATGGGTCGTAGCCAGACTATATATTTACATAGGATGGCTTACACATATAGTGCTGTGAAAAAGTATTGACCCCTTACAGGTTTTTTTTCTGTTTTTGATTTTTCTTTGTCTAACTTAAACGTTTCATATGAGCAAGTAAATTTTGACATCAGATATCAGAAAAATTGAGTAAATTCAAAAGGCAGTTTTCAAATGGCTACATTAAAATCGACGCAAACTTAACCCGGGATCTAGACAAAAACAATAATTGCCTGCTAAATCTAATAAGTTCTTGTTATAACTGGTAATGAGTCACTCACATTGCAGTGGAGCAGCTTTGTCCTACTCTTTGTAGAATGGTTTTACATCAGCCTATGCTATGATCCACCTGTTTAAGCTGACAGGTCTGGCATTCTCCAGCATTTGTTTCCTTGTCCTTTATTCAATAACAGCAAGTGCACAAGGTCCTGAAGCAGCAAAGGAGGCCCAGACCACCACACCTCCACTGCCCTGTTTGACAGTCCGTGCGATGTTAGAGTTGGGTTTTATACCAGGTTTAACAGGATACACACCTTCCACAAAGGTCCACCTTGGCTAATCAGACCCACGGACTGTTTATCCAATTGTTTATTTACATCACTGAGAATTTTTTTGTTTCTTTGTTTTTGCTAAATGCGAGACCTTGAGTTGTTTGTAGTCAGCTGACCTTTTCTCATTGGAACTATCTTGTGGGTAGCCCACCCCTACCCCATGTTTTTGTGGAGCTTTTTAGAACATGGACATAAATGTTGCTTTATGAGATCTTTTAGCCTAGTTCATGTTGTCAAACATGATCAAATCAGGTCATTTGATCCATTCTACAGGTCTAACAGCAGGTCCAGCTGTGGCTAATGAAACTCAGCTTTCCAAACAGGGCAACATTTTACACTTATGCAAATCATGAAATACCATATATACTTATGTGTAAATGGCAGCCATACGTGGTCTTTGAGTTCTTAGAGTTGAGGCAAAAACAACAATTCCATTTCTTTCTTTAATTTCCTTTCTCTCCTTTTCCTTCTTTTACTTTGTAGTACAGTCCAGTCTGATTAATGTAGTCCTTGGTTAAAAGTAATGACACTATCTATTATTCCAGGGACAAAGTTGCAAAGACATTATAAATGAAGAATTAGCCTCTGTGGATTTCTCACAAAAGCATCACCTAAGAGTCAGATAATTACCATTGCATTAGCATATATTAGTCCCAACCAAGGTCAGTGGCAACTTATTTAATACAGGTGTTCTAAGAATAGCTGCTAAGTCCAGGAAAACTCTCTGAGACAAATCTGTGATTAAGAATTCCTTTAATTCTTGCTCTTCCTGTTATGTCTTCTCAGCCTCCTTTTCACCTGCAGATGAAGTCACTGGGACTTGTTGTTTTTTTCTCTCAAACTAAGTTGTCTGAATACATTTGAAAGAGTTGCAAACAATGCCAAGGAAACAAAGTGAAGGTTATTTAAATGTTGTGTTGTGTTTTGGGTGGATCAGAAGAGAACATCTGAGTAAAGCTGATCCATGAACAAATCCAGATGCCTTCTTGGCTGGAAAAGACGGGATTTGGCCTGTTAAATAACAAATGCACTGTGCAGCACAAAATAATTTTACTGGCCTCTGAAGCAAGCCGCAATGTTGTTGTGGTTCTGGAAGTTTCTGGAATATAAATAATTGACATTTTATTTTTGGAACCCGATGCAGACAGCAACAGTCTGGTGGGGATTGGAGAGAGTCCCAAAGAAAGTACTCTGCATGGAGATGAGCTACAGCTGTGCTAGGAACTCTGCCAGGAATCAGGGATAGTCACAGGAATAGGGAGACAGACAGAGGGAGACAAAGACACAAACACACTTGAAATTAGAAGAAATGAAAGTGGAAGGCAAGATCCCAGCAGCTGAAATGGACCATGCCAGTTTTCATTAGTGTAGCACAACAAAATAAATAAATAAGATCATTTTATTTCATGAACCTAGAACAACACGTCAGGTTTGTTTTGCAACAAAAGAATAAAAAGAAATGGCTAAAACAATGTACCCAGTTCTTACAATATGTTGTTGTACCACTAGGTAGTGCAAAATCATACAATTACTCGTTAGCAAAAGGTGGATATTGAAGGGACTTTTCAGCAGAGGTGTGGACTCGAGTCAGACTGGAGTCATTTTAATCATTTCTGACTTGACTTGATAAAAGCTACAAAGACTTACCACTTGACTCAAACTTGAACGCCAGTGACTTGCGACTTGAATCAACTTGCATCTGTTGACTTGTTGATGACTTCAGTATCTTTGATATTTTAGCACAAAAGTGGCCCGACATGTACAAAAATCATAAATCATTCTTCGTTCTGGGTTTGATGTACTGTTAAATGCAGCAGCACTTTGTTTATAATCAGTTTCAGTTGCACTTTCTGCTTGTTTGAGCAAATAAATGAAGCTTTAAGAATCTTTATTTCTGGAATTTATTTATTATCATTGTCATTAAATTGAAGTTGGACAGATGACTTAATTATGACTTGAAATTTCAAAGTTAAGGACTTGGACTTGACTTGGACTTCCAAATCATTGACTTTGGACTCAACTTGGACTTGATTGTCTTTGACTTGGACTTGACTGGAAAGGCTTGTGACTTCCTTGTGGCTCTCACAAAGCAGTGACTTGGTTACACCTCTGCTTTTCAGCCATTTTAAGGTGCATTTCAGTGCAAAAATTTAAGACTATTACCATCTTACTCAATGTTTATAGCTTCCTTTGAAGCCTCCTTTCAGAAAAATAGTCCAACATCCAATAACCAAGACCAAAGTGCTTGGCTGTCATTTTAAAATAGCTCTAATCTCCAGCATCTCACAGGACTTCATGCAACATTACTTTATCTTTTTTTTCACACGTTATTAATAATTTCCCATTACATGATAATTTACATTGCCGATGCATAGAAGTAGCCTGGCCTGCCAGACTCCTCCTCTGTTTAATTCTGCACGGAGAAAGAGTCTGGGAACACTCCTATTCAAATAACCCCACCCCCTGGGAATTCTAACCGAGCCAATTAGCGCTGAGTAGCGTATGTCACACACCACAATGATGAATTTGTCATATAAACATGGCAACTGTAGCAGAGTTTGCTGTGGCTGTTTCCTCTGTTGTAAATGACTTGAACATGTCTTTAAAACCACAACAAGTAGAAGCGCTGAAAGTCTTTCTTCTAAAAAAAAAGATGTTTGGGTTAGGCCAGGCACCAATTTTCACCACAGCTTTGCACGGTACAGTCAGCATTTCCATCTTTTTTGTGATTGGTTATTTTTGAGCTGGCTAGTCCCGCCCCTCATGTACCTCTCTTACTGTGAGTTACCAGACTAGCTGTCTGTGCAGATTTAAACAGAGAACGAGTCTGGCAGGCCAGGCTAGAATAGAAGTGCAACAGGGATTTATAATTTTTTTTGTAAATGTTCCGTAATAAAATACGATTTATTCTGAATTTGAAAGCAGTGTAACATTTATGAAATATTTTTTGCTTAACATTTAGGATAATGAAGCCGTTCCAACTAGCTCCAATTAGCTCATCAACCCTCAAGGGCGTAAATCTATTTTACCCAAACAAGGTCACCAGTTAAGCTTTCCACAGTGGACTTGTTTTTAATTGTCACACCAAAACAACAAAAAATGTGTAAAACATACATCTCACTAAAGTTATTATTGTGCAAATTAAAGTGACAATGTGTGTTTTTTACCTTTAATCTCTGGAAATATCCAGTGAAATGTTGTTGAAAACGAATAAATGATGCTGGTTGTTAAATATTGGCGGCTTTGTAACACACTGTATAACCGGGTCTTAAATACATCGCCTCAGGGCGACGCCATATTAGATGCAATGTTTACTTTTGCGTGAGCCCGTGAGGAAAACATGCATTCACTGATCTGTAACAAACGGTTACAAACTTTCACCATTCATAGACACTGTTTTAAACATTTACCTTTTTGCTAATTGCCAGTGAAAGGGGAGTTTGTTGTGCTTGACATTTTGCAGGAGGTTGAATCATCTGGTGAAGTCCTCGTTCAAAAACGTTCAACCTTAATGGCCATCCGTTGGTAAGGTCTTACTCAAACACAAAAATACTGCTTGCTTTCAGTGTTTTAGGTATGTACTGCCCCCTTTCACCAGGGAAAATACACACTGTCACTTCAAACCAAGATGTCTTATCCATAAAATTATGCACAGATTGTTTTCCACCCACGAAGGAGTATAAAACAGAACATTTAGTCCAAAAAATTGGGATTTTCATACAACTGGCTTTCACTGGATTAAGAACATTTTTTGTGTGTTTTGGCTCAATATTTGTTTAGAATAACTTGTGTTATCATGATCGAAGGGTAGAGTAGAGCATGAGAGCACAGAATAGTGAATGCAGGTGATTCCTAAACAGCCGTGACCTGTGTCAGGATGACAGATAGCACTATTTGAGCTTAGTATCAATATCAGCTGGGCGGCTGAGCAGCGACTGGTAAAACCTAACAGAGGGTTGGCTCTTCGCAGACAGCAATAAAACAGAATCTAGATGAAACTTAAACACTTTCCTCACACCATCAACTTCCTCCAAGGGAGCAAACTTAAAAAAAGACTTCATTTTGCATTCTTAATGACATTAGCTTAAAGAAAGTAAATATATATATATATATATTTACATTATTACAGAAATTTTATTAGTAGCTTATATCTTTACAAAAAGAGCATTGTGTACGTGTTTTACATGTCTTAATTCTACATCAACCATTTATTAAAAATAAACAGGCTTTAAAAGTCCACCTTTAAACCTTGTAAAAGTACACTCATAACAACAGGTTATTGTATATCTAAATCTTCTTACAATAAATACATGAAATCATTTTTATTTTCACTTTATCCAGGTGATTAAACATTTAAACAAGTGTAGTGTCTTCACAACAGGTTTATACCTCTATAGCATATTTGTATGATTTTGACATAGTCATGGTTCACTTGGCAAAAATGTCCATGTACAAATGAGAATTAGTCATTTTTATGATGTGAGTAAAGACTTGACGCATAAAACAACCGTATTTTGAGTTATAATGTTTTGATTTGCAAAATGACTTCATAATTATTTCCCCTTTTTGTTTCAGACAGGAAGTGGTTTAAGCAAGTGCAGATATGAGTTAGCACACTTAAAACAAAGATCAAAGCCTAGCAGCTGTATTATTTATGAGGTTGTGGGGGATTGTGTCATGGGACAAGGTTTAATCGTATCTTTGGCTGTAGGTTGATGCTTGAGTGTTCATGTCCTAGTTAGGACAAGAGCTATTTGATGCAGACAGCTGCCTCCAGCATCCAAGGAAAGGCTCGGGACTCACTTCCTACCTTTCGTGTGATGGCTCAAAAGCCTCGCGGTTGAAAAATCTTCTCCGTGCCAAAGCTCAGTGATGCACCGAAGCAGCCCAGCTGCAGCCGCAGATATGCTTGATGCATCGGTTATTGTGTCTCCAATCCGAGGTGAACACAGTGCCATAATCTTTTATAGCTGCCTGTCTCAGTGCAATCTTTTTTCTACGGTGACAAATCACATCTGAACTGGTGTAACAGCAGAAAAGGGATAGGAAGCACAACAAAGATTGCAGGTGTTTTTGCAGAGCTTCCTCATTTTGGGGTTTCTGCGCTGATGCAAAATTAATGTTTGCAGTGTTACACTGTCATGCTAATTTTTTCCATTTGCCTAAATGAGCAAAACAAACAATCTAAAAAGAAGTTTCTGTTCACAAGCAAAGTAGAAGATGAGTCCCGAGGCTGAGAGCAAAAATGTGTTTTTCATTCACACTCACTGATTTGTCTCTACCACAACATTCACTTGGTTTCTGGCCCGTGCCAGCCACATCTGGATTATTTTATACACCTTTCACAAATCTTTACCGTCAGGTCTTCTCTTCTATTGTGAAAAGTGTTCATAATAAAAAAAAAAGCTGCAATAAAATCATATGAAAACATTCTGCTAACAAGGAAAAGGCTACAAAGGTGTTTTTGTTTGTTTTTGTTGTGCTTCATTTATATTCCGTAGATATTGTCTGAAACAACTGCAAAGACAGCTTTATTGTATTTTTAGATTCTGCTGTACTCATTAATTTATGAACAGATGAACATACAGTGATCCCTTCTAGCGTAATTGAGTTGGCAGTGAAGAATCCTCTTTAATGGGATTTTAAAGGAATAGCTTGGACTTTTTGAAGAAGGATTCTCCAGCAGCCATAGTCCCTTTTCACAGACACATTAAAGCTGGAACTGGAAAAACTCCTTTCTTCTTGCTGAAGTCAACCTACCGCTGTTGGGCTTGGAGGTGGCTTTAGAAAGGGATTATCTGAAGCATTTTTATGGAATCATATTGGTAAAAGGCCTAAAATGTAACCTGCAGTAGAAAGAATGATCCCAGTTTGGAGAATCAGAAAGGAATTCCTAAAGGAGCGGTTGTTCTCGGAGATATTTGGACATCTCTCCCCGGATCGGACGAGTACGACTCTACCACGAACATGCAACGTGGTTGTTTTATTTCCACAAGTAACACAAGCCTGGAGGAGGTTCTGCCACGTGGTGGTGTTGCTAATGCTAACGGTTAGCTTAAACTATCCGACACATTCTCTGCTGATTTCTAAAGGTTAAAACAACAACATCCCTCCCAGTCGTGAGTCAAGATCGGTGGATCCAAGAAACTGCTTGATGTAGAGCTGTCAAGCTTTTCAAATCCACGCATTTCAACGTCTATTTTCTATCTGAAGCTAAAGCAGGAGATAGGTGGAGGAGACTATTCCCATGTCCAGCCTACATGAAAAACTCTAAGAGACCAAATTTATTCAGACAAAAACATCAAATAAATGTTTTTTTTTTTTCAGTCAACCACACCTTTAGCGAAAATCAAGCTATCAACTACTTAAGCAATGGCTTTTTGTTAGGAAAGTATTCCTGCAGGTAAGATACTGACTGATGATTACAACCCTGAATTCCAGTTCAAAAACATCCCAAACATTTCTTTTAGCCGGTCTAACCTTTATGTCTTTTTGCTGGTAAATACACTGATGTCCATGCTTTGAAGCAGCTTTGGTGCTCTGGCTTCCAGAGCTGCCTAACAGAAAAATAACACCAGTACTTTTGAATAGTTGAAGCTTAAACCCATGTGTTCAGCTGTGTAATGAAGCAGCCGTGACCTGATTTGGCTCTGGAATCATCTGATGGGTGTTTAAAATGACCTGATTCACTCAGAATCTTAAGCCTCATTTGTCCTCTGTTCACCCATCTACACTACGAGTGAGGACGATCTCTAGGAAAATATGCAGGAACAAGCTTAACCTGAAAAAAATATTTCTTCAGATTATTGTGTGAGAGTGCTTGTTTGTCTGCTCACTGTCTAACAAACGGGCTGTCATGCACTCAAGCATCTTCCCAAAATACGGACGCAGAATTCAAAAGTGCTTGTTGATGACAAATGCAGCCAAATCCCAATCTTTTTTCCTGGATAAAGAAATATGGAAGTGTATTTGTCAGTGTCAGAACTTGGTCCGAGGGGCCCTAAATAATCTGAAAACCCAGTGAGAGGAAGAAAAGGAGAGACATGAAGATAGATTATATATCTGTTCAGCAGAGAATCTTTTGGGTTTGTCATCCCCAAACAAACAAAAAAGCATGACTCATGAGTTTTCAGTTCGTCTGCGTAAGCATGTTCATCAGAAAGTGCAGGCGTAGACGACGCCCACCACCACAATGTTTCCAATCGTAGCGATGATGGCAATCCAGAGCCAGATGGCATCGCTAGACATTGACTGTTGCTCGTCCTGCTGGCCATGTACCGAGGCCGCTGACGGAGCAGCGTTGACGCTAGCCGAGGAGTTGAAGAGCGAGTGCTCGCCGCTGTAGTCGTCATTGGGAGAGGAGTCCATGAAAGCGCCGGTCATTACCGGGATCTGGAAGGTAAAGGAGGAAATGGATTTTAGCACCACTTTCTGAAATATAGTTAAAGCTGCTGTTCACTGAGAAACGTGATATGAGTTTCACATTCATGCTAAACATGAAACTCTTCAAGTCAGCTCCTTCAGGCTTGGTTTATTTGTGAGGAGAAAACATTAACTTTGCATTTTTTTTTACCCAAGAACAGAGCAAAAGAGTTGCATTATTGTTAGCCAATCAGAGGCAAGATGTCTACATATCATGAGTTTTCTGCCTCTGACTAACTTCTGCTTCCTGCAAGAAAAGCAGCAGGGCTTTATTTTCTGAATGACTTAGAAGACCACAGCACATTTATTGAAATAAAAAGCCAATGATCGCTTTAAGATACGTAAAGATTTCACATCACCCTGTCCTTTTGTGATTTTCTTTTATTGAGGTTGGTGAACTGGTGAACAATTTGAACAATTTACAACTAAAACTGTATGCATTCACCTGGGAACATCTAACACTGGATTCATGAAGCATAAATCTCTTTTCACAAAACTTCCAATTCTTTCTCATTTCTTGTGCTCTGAATGGATACAAACACCACTTTAATTAATCATTTCTGCAAAAGAAATAGCTGTGTGTGACACAACTCAGCAGGCGTGGAATGAAAATAACAAATAAGAACAGCTCAACAGCATGTGAAATTGAAATTCTCATTTGGGAGAAGAGGAAAATGAAATGTTTATTGGATTTAAAGAATGAACAGACAAAGCTGTTGTGGAAAGAGTATCCAGCTTTTAATATAGATGATTTGTGCATAATAGTTAAATAAATCCTATTTTCTTTTATCAGTACAGCAGATCTGATCCAACATCACATTAAACACAAAACAAATATTAAGGCACAATAATTATTTTCCTAACTGTGTCTTCTGCAAATGAGCCGTCGCAGCAGAACATGTAAAAATCCAAACCAAACTCCACGCAACCAATATATCGATATAGATGAGAAAAAAAACCATTTAGATTTCAAATTAAAACATTTCCTGAGTTTGAAAAAATAAGTTGTTAAATGGAAGTTGCAATACTGAAAAGAGCTGTCGCCTCTCATTTAAGTGGATCTTGGCTCAGATTTATTTCAGGTGAAGATATATTTTCTACCAGGTGTGCACAAATATTTTTTCTTAGAACAATTGGGTCCAGTATTTAAGACATGAAAAGTTTAACATTTACATTTCATCATCAGCACTTTTCAGTTCCTGTTGCTCATGCATCAAAAACTAGGCTGAAAGATATAAGCAAATGAGGCGTTGCCAGCTTACATTAATTGTAGTCACGATTGTGTTTATTGTGTTTCAGAGACCAGCTGTATTTACAAGCAAAACTTTGAGCAGTTAGATACTCACTGGTCACTTAATCTGATGCCCTGTTTCAATTGCTTATCTGTATGATTATCTAAACAATCAATAAACCTAATGCATTCAGGCAGAAGTGGTGAGCAGGGGTGCCTCCAGAAAAATTTGACAGGGGTAGCCAGATTGGGCCAAAGAAATTTTTGGGGTGGCACACCAAATTGGTCCTTGTCGTAACTCTGGGAGAGTTTAGCCAGTGGCAATGTACTGCATTGCTCCTTTATTCATTTTTATTATTAAAAAAACACTATGTATCCAAAACATTTAACTTAAATTTTACAAACACAAACATTTCAGAAAAATACATTTCAGTTATTTCAATTTGTTTCCAAATTTTATTTAAAAAAATGTATTTAAGGTTTATTCACCTGTGTTGCTGTGTTCACAAAAAACTATGGAGATAAAAAAAAATTTAATGGTGAGCAGCAGAAACGTGTTTTTTTAAATCATTTCTTTAATTGTTCATTGTATTCTTTTTTTTCCTTTCACAATTATGTCTTGAATAAATAAGATAAAGTTATGGTTTGAGTGAACATTTATATGATTTATTAACATTGGCTTTTGGGGGGGGGGGGGGGGGGGCAGCAATTTTCTAGGCATGGCCAAGGCACCCCTTGGGGGTGCCCTTGGTGGTGTGGACAACTAGCTGAATGAAACATCAGAATGGACAAAGAAAGAAGATGCAAGTGACTTTGAACTAATCCATCAAAGCAACATGGGGAAGCTGTTTTTTATCATGGAAAATAGCAACAGTGGCTCAAATAACCACAGACTTCAACCAAGTTCTCCATCTCTTAAGACACTGAACTGTGGAGCAGATGGACGCCAGCAGCAGGAGACCAAACAAGAAATCCTGTAAGATGAGAACAGGAAACTGAAGGTGTATTTCACATAGGATCACCAGAGCTGAACCAAAAGAGACTGGAAACACCTTTCCTGGTCTGGACTTCAGGTGCAACATTCAGATTTTGGGTCCGAATTTGTTGTAAACATGAAAGCATGGGTCCAGCCAGCCTTATATCAATAGCTCAGGCAGCTCATGCTGCTGTGAGGGAGAAGTTCTTGTCCCACTCTGGGCCCTTTAGTACCACCTCAGCCTGGTTTAAGCACCACAGCCTACATAAGTATTGTTGCTGACCATGTCCATCCCTTTATGGCCACATGGACCCATCTTCTGATGGATACTTCCAGCAGGATAATACACCATGTCACAAAGCTCAGATTACCTTTTAATTGTTTTCTACAACATGATGATGAGCATTAAGGAGAGGGGCAAAGATAAAAAACACCTCAGAGAAGTGTTTAGATCTCAAAAATACAAGAATATGCTCACTTTCTCTTCAAGCTTTCTCTCATGACCACACAACCCGATGCATAAACGTTAACATAGAACCACACAAATACAAATATTTCTGCTCTTCACCCACATACACCATTTTAAAAATGCTGTTTTAGAGAGCACTATGCTGCTCTACATTCTTGGGCCTCTGGTGGGGAGTAATAACATGACACGTCCTGTGGAGCGTCTGCGGCTCACATGAGCATGATGGAGCCAGGCAGGCGTGCAGGAAGTCCGGCAACCTGGGTCTCCCCACAACTCACTGTAAGTGCTGATTTGTCCACTTTGGCAAAGCCTTTTGTTTTATCACACACACACACACACACACACACACACACACACACACACACACACACACACACACACGCATGCACACAATATTTGAGGTCAACTGAAAACAGCTTCAGATGGAACAAAAATAGATGCCATTCTAAATATATGGTTTATGGCACTGTGTGTTAAATCAAATCACAACAAACACCCTTTGTATGAAATGTTGTCATTGTAACAAATCAAAAATAGAATTTGATGGAAATAACAGGAATATTTTATTCAATTAAATTAATTAAATTTCAATAATTACATTTATTTTAAAATACAAGAGTCCATGATCACACCGAACTCATCCCGTGCCCGGGTTTCTGCCTTGGTGACCACCCGAGCCACGTTCCGCTTGGACTGCCGGTACCCGTCATCTGCCTCTGGAGTTCCACAGTCCAAAAAGACCTGATAGGATTCTTTCTTCAGCTTGACAGCATCCCTAACCACCGGTGTCCACCAGCGAGTTCGGGGGTTGCCACCACGACAGGCACCGACGATCCTGCAACCACAGCTCCGGTCGGCCGCCTCAACAATGGAGGCACGGGACAGGGTCCATTCAGACTCAATGTCCCCCGCCTCCCCCGGAACATTTTGGAAGTTCTGTCGGAGGTGGGAATTGAAGCTCCTTCTGACAGGAGACTCTGCCAGACGTTCCCAGCAGACCCTCGTGATACATTTGGGCCTGCCTGGTCTGACCAGCATCCTCCCCCACCATCTGAGCCAACTCACCACCAGGTAGTGGTCAGTTGACAGCTCCGCCTCTCTCTTCACCTGAGTGTCCAAGACATGCGGCCGCAGGTCAGATGAAACAACAACAAAGTCGATCATCGAGCTGCGGCCTAAGGTATCCTGGTGCCAAGAACACATATGGACACCTTTATGTCTGAACATGGTGTTCATTATGGACAATCCATGACTGGCACAGAAGTCCAATAACAAAACACCACTCAAATTCAGATCGGGGGGCCATTCCTCCCAACCTCACCTCTCCAGGTTTCACTGTCGTTGCCCACGTGAGATTTAAAGTCCCCCAGCAGAATGAGGGAGTCACCGGAAGGAGCGCTCTCCAGCACGCCCTCCAAGGTCTCCAAAAAGGGTGGGTAGTCTGAACTGTAGTTTGGTGCATAAGCACAGACCACAGTCAAAACCCGTCCCCCCACATGTAGGCGGAGGGAGCCTACCCTCTCATTCACCGGGGTAAACCCCAACATACAGGCACCAAGATGGGAGGCAACTAGTATGCCCACCCCTGCTCGGCGCCTCTCAGTGGGAGCAACTCCAGAGGGGTATGTCCAACCCCTCTCAAGGAAACTGGTTCCAGAGCCAGAGCCATGCGTTGAGGTGAGTGCAACTATATCTAGTCGGAACCTCTCAACCACACACACCAACTCAGGCTCCTTCCCCACCTGAGAGGTGACATTCCATGTGCCAAGAGCCAGCTTCTGTAGCCGAGGATCAGACCGCCAAGGTCCCCGCCCTCTACTACCACCCGTCACACACTGCACCCGACCCCTTTGGCCCCTCCCACGAGTGGTGAGCCCATGGGAAGGGGGACCCACATTTCCTCTTCAGGCTGTGCCCGGCCAGGCTCCATGAGTGAAAGTCCAGCCACCAGGCGCTCGCCAACGGGCCCCACCTCCAGGCCTGGCTCTAGAGGGGGGTAGTGTCATGGGTGACACTACCAGGGGCAGAAAGCCTCAGACAACTTAGCTCCTAGGATCACTGAGACAGTCAAACCCCTCCACCACGGTAAGGTGGCCGCCCAGGGAGAGAAACGCGAGAAGTATAAAAATAAATGTACCTATGAGTCTGTATTTCTAGAAATTTGTTGAGAGGATCTTGCAGACATGGCTGCTGCTGGTTAAACTCTAATGAAACGCAAAGAAAAGCAACTTTAAGATCCCAAAGCATCGACTGAACCCTGTGAATTATTGCCAGAAAGTTGACATTTGCTGAGG